CCCTGGGGTGTCCTTGAACAGTAATCTCTAAAGATTTAGGAAAATTAAGTTGGTGAGATGGTTCAGTGGATAAAGGAAGTTTATTTTGCAAGCCTGACAACCTGAGTTTGATCCCTGAACTCACATAAAGATGGAAAAAGTGAAAAGGCTCCAAAAAGTTGTTCTCTAACTTCCATGTTAGCACACATGAATAACAAATGAAATTATGGGGCTGGCGAGATAGTTCCTAGAGTAAACACCCTGCTGTTCTTGCAGAGAACCTAGATTGGGTTCTCAGCACCTCTGACAAGACCAGGTGTGCACAGGGTGCCCATACAGACAAAAGGCTCATACATACAAAATAAACCTAAAAGAAAATTCATTACACACAAAGACACAACTAAATAAATAGCTTTTATGCAGGTGTGTGCTGCTGAAGACCTAACCCGGTGCTGTATGCATGCCAGATAAGCACTTCTACCATTATAAATACAACTTTTGTGTTTTCAAATTGTATAAATTTTTAAATTGTACTTTTTATTACCATGTTATTTATACATAATAATGGTGTTCATTATTTTTATACATGTACATAATATATTTCAATCATAGTCACATACACATCCCCTTACCATCTTGTCTCCCTCTACTACTTTTTTAAATAACTTTTTATATTTATTATTTCATGTATGTGAGTATACTGTTGCCATCTTCAGACACAACAGAAGAGGGCCTCGGATCACATTACAGATGGTTGTGAGCTACAATGTGGTTGCCGGGAATTGAACTCAGGACCTCTGGAAGAGGAATCAGTGCTCTTAACTGCTGAGCCATCTCTCCAGCCCCTCCCCCTACTACTTTTAATCCCCTTCCCACTAAATAGTAATTTGGTTGGTTGGTTAGTTGGTTTGGTTGGTGTTCCCTAAGTAGCCCAGGCTTACCTTGAACCCATATCCTCCTCCTCTGCTTACATAGTTACCTGTCCAAGTCTACGTAGCAGAAGTTTGGGTGAGCAGTTTTTGTTTGTTATAAAGATCTTTTTATTTGTGTGTGTTTGTGTGCATGTGAATACTGGTGCCCATAGAGAGCAGAAAAGAGTACCAGATACCTTGGAGCTAGAATCCCAGGTGGTTGTAAGCTACCCAACATGGGTGCTGGGAAAGGAACCTAGGTCTTCTGGAACAGCAGCAAGTACTCTTAACTGCCCAGCCATCTCTCTTGGCCAGACAGCAATTTAAGGTTCAGTGAACACTGGTCTAATTACAACATTGATCTGATTCATTTCTGAGTTAAAATGCACCTGTAAGTAATAGTCTGACCACACAGTCAGTGACATGTTAGCCTGAAGTCAATAATAAAACACCTACTGTGATCACTACAATACAACAGATAGAAATTGAATGTGAGCTATGCTTTGAGTGCTCTTTGTGCTTCCAGGAAGTAACCACCAAGGCCATATGGCACTGCCACTGCTGGCGACCTTACATCCTTCCCTATCACTACAGCTGATGAAGAGCTTCCTCGGCTGGGTGTGGTGGTACACATGTGTAATCCCAGAGCTGGGGAGGCTAGGGCAGAAGGACTTCAAGAATGAGGTAAGCCCGGCACTCAAGATTACCTACAATGGGAGACTAGGGCCCAGTCTGTACATGCATTTATAGAAAAGCATCAGAAAAGAAGCTCGTCACCCAGATTCAACAATTTTCTGGGTTTTTGTTTGTTTCATAAAAACTTGCATATACAAGAAGCCATTCTTCAGGACCTGAGTTTGATCTATGGACTTCTTATGTATCTGCTGTTTTCTTCTCATTCCAACTCTTGCTCTTCCTACCCACCACCCCCACCACGCCCACCCCTTAAACACATCAGTTAAGTAATATGTTCCTTCATGGAAAAAAAAAAAAAATCCAGCACTAAACCTTGTTTTCTAGCTGCTACCTTAAATCTCCCCTTATCTAGGTCACAAATAGGGTTTTTAGCATTTAAATTCAGGGCATGGTTTAAATTAATGTTAAGAAAGACAGCTACCAAACTATATGATAGCTATTAGCTCCTGGCTAATTCTTTTCAAGATGGGAGTTTCATCTACAGCTGCCTCCTCCAACTGTAGAGGCCCATTGAGCTCTAACATGGTGAGAACAGTATGCTCATACAGCATGGCTTCCCAAAATATATACTGGTAAAAGGACACAGGGATCAAAGTTCCAAAAAAGAACAAAATGGACTTTCCCAGCATGGATCCTGAAGTTAGTGATGTGCTTACTGGTTCTGTGCACTCCAACAAGCCGCGGCTTCTGTTTCAACTTGTTGGAGACTAGTAAAAGCTGTGTCAGGACAAGCTCTGGCGAGATGATGAAGAAAGCATATACAAGTGCCAGGTTGCTGAGTGGACAAGAAGCCAGTGAGCTGAGAGCCAACAACTGATTCAGCGCATTAGTAGGCCGGTTTGCTTACTTGAGCGTTAGTCCAGCAGGCTCAGACTAGGTTACAAACTAAAGTAACTCACAGTTGAGTAACGTGTTTAGCCATCATTTGACTTTCAAAATGAGCCACAAAGTATAATTATTTTTGTCTTCCATCAATAATTTATTTTCTCGGGGGCTGGAGAGATGGCTCAGCGGTTAAGAGCACTGACTGCTCTTCCAGAGGTCCTGAGTTCAAATCCCAGCAACCACATGGTGGCTCACAACCATCCGTAATGAGATTGGATGCCCTATTCTGGTGTGTCTGAAGACAGCTACAGTGTACTCATCAATAAAATAAATAAATAAATATTAAAAAAATAATAATAATAATAATTTATTTTCTCTTTGCCTGCTTTTTTTTTAAATGCATTTATTTATTTAGTGTAAGTATATATTTGTGTGCGGATGTATGCTTGTCAAAGCACCCATGTGGAGATCAGAAGAAAACTAATGGAAGTTTGATCTCTCCTTCCACCATGTAGGACATGGTAATTGAACTCAAGCCATCAGGCTGGACAGTAAGTGCCTTTACTCTGAGTTATCTTTTTGGTCACACCATTTTTTTTTTTTTTTTATAAAATAGGGTTTTACACTGCCTAGGCTGACCTAGACTCAAAACTGAGGCACTCCTGCCTCAGCTACCCAAGAGCTGGGATTAGATATGAGTTACCACATTCAGCCAAAGCTTTTTCATTTTAATAAAAAGATTTTAATTTTAGGAGCCAAAGAGATGGCTCAGCAGTTAAGGGCACTGGTTGTTCTTCCAGAGGTTCTGAGTTTGATTCCCAGCAACCACATGGTGGCTCACAACCATCTGTAATGGGATCCATTGCCCTCTATTGGTGTGTCTGAAGAGAGGGACAGTGTACTCACATACATAAAATTAATCTTAAACAAAACAAAACAAAAAGCCCAGCTGGTCATGGACTGGAGAGATGGCTCAGAGGTTAAGAGCATGTGTTGTTCTTCCAAAGGACCAGGGTTGTTTCCTACCATCCAGATCACACTGGACAACTCACAGTGGGATCCTGGACCCTCTTCTGGCCTCCAGGACACTTGAGGGCACTGATGCACTTAACAAGCTGATAAAAACACAGACATAAAAAATAAATAAAGATGTTTAAACCAGCTGATCAACCAGGGTGAACAATACCACTGACCTTCCAGATACCTGCACACATGCACAAACCACAACATAAGTCTACACATTAAAAAAAAAAAAAGATTTTTTTTTTTTTTTTGGTTTTTCGAGACAGGGTTTCTCTGTGTAGCCCTGGCTGTCCTGGAGCTCACTTTGTAGACCAGGCTGGCCTTGAACTCAGAAATCCACCTGCCTCTGTCTCCCAAGTGCTGGAATTAAAGGCGTGTGCCGCCACTGCCCGGCAAAACAATCTTTTTTTAAGAACAGTGACTTGGGGCTGGAGGGAGAGCTCAGTGGTTAAGAACACCAGCTGCTCTTCCTAGACGACCCAGGTTCAATTCCCAGCCCCTACATGGCAGCTTGCTACTGTCTGTAACTCCTGTTCCAGAGGATCTGACACTCACACAGAGATACATGCAGTCAAAACAGCAATGTACATAAAATAAAAATAAATTATTTGAAAAGAAAACAGTGTCTTGAATAAGCAAACAGGGTATTTAGTACTCCCAGATAACACCTAAACTTCCCAACTATCCTACAGAATGAGCTTTATGTTACAGGTATATAACTATACTAGAGATTAAGTAACAACTAAAAAATATATTGTTGAAACGTAGTAGACACAAATGATACTGAGAAGCATGACAGTTTGGATCTTGTTTTACATAGGCTCACAGCATTATAGCCAACCCCACCTTGTTAGGTGAGCTAACAGGACCGCTAGATCTAGAGTTCTGAGGCCCGCACACTGGATGCCTCTGCCATCTGAACCAGTCAGATCACTTTCATGTAACATCTGTAAGAATTTTATCAGGGCCTGGTGGTTAAGGCCTATAATCTCAGATCTTCAAGAACCTGAGGCAGGAGGATCAAGTTCATGGGCATCTTAGTGAAACCCTTTCTCAAAAAGTTTTTTTTTTTTTTTTAAATCTGTGTGGGGCTATGTAGCTCAGTGGTAAGGCACTTGACTAGGATGTAGAATTCCTACACAGAACTGAAAGGAATCAATGTGATCGTGAGTGTAAGTGAATTTTAGGAACTGTTAAGAAGCTTTGCAAATACAAAGTTCCCTTAGTTTCCCTTAGTTTATCTTTGAGCACATCTCTTAATTGACGCTAATAATCACAGCACATCCTGTAGTCGTTGTAATAACTGTAAGCCACACGAGTTTTTGGGTGACAAACGAACACTGTAGTAAACCTGACAAGCATCCTCGGGATGGACAAACTGCTTTCCCAGCCCCAGCCCTCTGCACCCTTTGTTTTGCGAACAGACCCCTGGGTCTGGTTTCTTGGGCTTGTCCTGTAGCTAGGACTCTGGCCCACCTCCGAGTCCCATTTCTGCTGCCAGGGGGCGCTGCGCTCTGCGCCACCTGCCGGAGATGCGCGCGCAGGGAGAAGGCGGTGCCCGCCCAGCAAAACGAGCAAAGCGAGATTAGGCGGAGCCTGCGGGGCAAGATGGCGCCGTCCGTAGTTCTGCGCTCGTTTTCGCGGCTGTTGGTCTCCGCCCGGCTGCCGAGCTGCTGTGAGTGTCTTTTCAGCCCCATTCGGCGCTCAGCCTACCCTCACCCAGCACGAACCACCCTGGAATCTCCGTAGTAGGAGGGGGTCGCGGTCCAGCCTTTCCTGCAGTGACCTTCACCGTCCGCGAGCTGGGTTCTCCACTCATCATCAGCAGTCAGCTTTCCTCCAAACTAACCCCTGACCTCTGCGAATGGATTTTGGGTCTTTTGTCCCAGGCTCTTCAGTGCCTAGGAGACAACAAACAGAGAGATCCTTCCGGGACTGCCTCCCACTCCAAAGCCTATGAGGGCCGGTGAGACTTTAACCAAAGCTTTGAAGGCGCCCTGAGTCCCAAGGACGACCTTCTGTCTCGGCTGGTTACCTCGGTTCTCTGAACTATGGTCCCTTGATTATTTAAATTGGGGCTGGGCAGAGAGAGGATAAATGACAAACTAGGTGGAGCTCTCCGGGAATCCCTGCCCTTCGGGGGATCCCTGAGACAAGCAATCAGGAATTCAAGACCAGCCCGCGCTACAAGAACCTCTAGCTCAAAAGAAAATTTCTTTACATACACTAGTATATGTTAGGTTTTCCCTGCTGACATCAATAAGACACATATTCTCTCTCTTTTTTCAGCTTCAACACGGTCAAAGTTCTATGTTCGGGAGCCTGTCAATGCCAAACCTAACTGGGTGAAAGTTGGGCTGTCCTTTGGCGCCTCGATTTTCATGTGGATTTATGTGAGTACGCTACTCATAGGATCCCCTGGAGCTGGAGTTAGACATTTATGAGCTGCCTGTTGTTGGTCCTGGGAACCAAACTTGGGTCCTTTGCACACAGTACATGCTCTTAACTGCCAAGCCATCTCTGCAGCTCCAAGTTAATATACATTCTTGAAAGGTTTTCCTGATGGAAGGCTTAGTTGCTGCCTTAAGGATTGAAATTAGGTCTTTGGTTCCTATGAGTATTATCATTGCATTAGACGTTATTCCAGTTACACAGTCTGTGGTTCTAAGAAAGCAGCTGCTCTCTGAATTCTAATTAACATACACAGAGGTGAGGAAGGGGGTTGGTCATTTACTCACAGTGTCAGGCTTCGAAGATTGGAAGGACGGCATACTGTACATAGACACACACAAACACACACAGAGGTACACAAAAGTATAGTATATACTTATCAGCCAGCCTGGGACACACTCAACAGCTAGAGTATCATGTCTTACAATTCTTCTGTCACATGCATTCCACTGTATCATTCTCAAATTTAACGTCAGGTGGTGGTCAACAAATTATCCCACTAATAATTTTTTAATTTGAATTTCTTAGGTTTTCAGTTGTTTAAACCTACCCAATCTCTCTTATGAAACATAAGGATCTTTACTTGGTTTCTTCCTCTTGAAGCTGCCAGGATGCTTACATCTCTAGTTTTAACCATTCATTTGTAGCTCATCCGACAACACAATGAAGATGTTTTGGAGTACAAAAGAAGAAATGGATTGGAATAAACTTTGGAAATAATACAGTAAGTATATTTATAGAGTACATAGATTATGGAAGTTAATTTATCTATTTGTGACTGAGACAGGGTCTCACTCCTAGGCGTAGTGGCACATGCCTTTTTTTAGTCCCAGCACTAGAGGGACAGAGGGAGGCAGATCTCTGGAAAGCCATCCTGGTTCCAGGATAACCAGGGCTAAGTAGAGAGACTGAGTCTCACTGCATAGACTTGAACTCATTATATAGACTAAGATCCACCTGCACCTGCCTCTGCCTCCTACATGCTGAAATTTAAGGGTGACACCAGTGCTGGATGAGGTCATAAGAACTTATAATGCCAGGGCTACAGAAACTGGCAAGGAGATGATGAGTCTGAGGCTAGCCTGGTCTGCCAGGGCTACAGAAACTGGCAAGGAGATGATGAGTCTGAGGCTAGCCTGGTCTGCACATCAAGACCCAGAACAAGCAAAGAAAGAAAGAAGGAAAAACAATAAGCCAAAACCACATTAAGTCATATCTTCGTTGCTGGTACTTTAGGCATTGTGTTTATAGCACTTGGGACAAGGTAGCATAATTTGTGTGTGTTTACTAATATGTGCTTGCCGTGTCTTGAGTATGAACTCTCTACTGTCTTAATGTTCATGTTCTCAAACTGTACTGAATGCCCAGCCATCTTAGGAGTTTAATGTTTGTAGAACAAGTGAATGTATAAAGGCAGCCAATTCAGGATGTTTTTCTGCTTGGCCATTTTGTTATGATTGTCACTACAGCTAGCATCCAATTGAGGAATTCAGGTAAAACCTAATATGAATGAGACATATTTTCCATGATTTAAGAGAGAAGAATTGTGAGTATGTCTGTGCATTGTGTGTCACACACATAACATACATATATCATGTGATATATATAATATATATACTGTATTTCTGAAAATTATTTGAAAGTTCTTTACCCTTGATGAAATCCCTTATTTTTTTTTTTGGTTTTTCGAGACAGGGTTTCTCTGTGTAGCCCTGGCTGTCCTGGAACTGGCTCTGTAGACCAGGCTGGCCTCGGTGAAATCCCTCATTAAAAAAAATCTTAACTTCTAGACTGAGAAGTTAGCTCAGTGGTTAAAGCAACTGCCACACAAACATGAGGACCAGAGCTCAGATGCTCAGAACCCATGTAAATGCTGGGTTGGTTGGTATGGCGACTTAGAATTCCAAAACTCTGAAAGTGAACAGAGGGTTCCCAGAATAAGATGGCTAACTAAATTAGCCACTGGTGAGCTGTGGGCCAATCAAGAAACCCTGCCTCAATGAATGAGGTGGGAAGCCATTGACAAAGATCCCCAGCATTTGCATGTGCTTGTGCACACCACACCACAGGCATGTGCGCACACATGCAGACATGCACATATGCCACACACAAAATATTTCAGTTTCCATGGGTTAAGTTGTTAAAATAACTTACATCTGCTAGATAATAAACATAGTAATCACAAAACATATTTTCTTTATTTAAGAACTCTGAAATTTCACACTTTAGAGTTGTCCAAATCTTTTGCTTCCTTTTTTATGTTAATACCACTTTGCCTATTTCAATATTTTTGCTATGAATTTAGAATTAAGTACTAATATTGTTTAATAGATATATTTTCTAGATCTTTTCAGATGCTCTAAGGTGAATTATTCAGAGATGTCCAGTTTTAATGTTATCTAATCAACACCTTGGGTTGACTGGGTTTTGTTTCCTCTTCCTTATAGGTCTGCTTCATGATCATAGTTATTCCCCTGGATTCCCCTAGAGTTGTGGATATAAGAAAAAAGTTACATGTGAATATGTATCAGTCAAGTCAGCACATACATTTTGCATTGTTAAATTAAATAAAAATACTTGTGCTCTTCATATGTAGAGACGGAATCACTGGTCACTGCTGATGGACTCTTTAACTTTTAACTGTTTATTTTTATGTGTTAGTGCTTGCATATATGTATGTGTACCATGCACATTTGGTATTCATAGAACTCTGAGGAGAGAGCTGTAGCCATGGGTGGTTGACAGGGGACTTGGGAACCAAACTTTGGTCCTCTGCAAAAGCAGCCAGTGCTCCTAACTGCTAAGCCCCTCTTGTCATCTTTTTCTTTCTTTTATTTTTTTTTAAAGATTTTATTTTTATTTATATGAGTACACTATAGCTGTCTTGAGACACACCTGAAGAGTATATCAGACACCGTTACAGATGGTTGTGAGCCACAATGTGGTTGCTGGGAATTGAATTCAGGACCTCTGGAATAGCAGTCAGTGCTAACTGCTGAGCCATCTCTCCAGCCCTCATCTTTTTCTTTTATGTTTGGTTTTTGGTTTTAGTGTTGCTGTAAATCTCCAACCCAAATAATGACTGGTTAAATTAGAAATAGCTGAGAGTAGTTAACGGACAACAGTTCAGATTGCTTTATTTTGGTTTTATTTTTATTTTATTTTTTTTTTCTGGTGCAGGGTCTCACTATAGATCTTTGGCTGTGTTGTCCACTGTAGACTGGCCTTGAACAGAAATCTATCTGCCTCTGCCTCCTGAGCGTGTCACTATGGCCATCTCTTGTTTTTTTTTGTTTGTTTGTTTTGTTTTGTTTTATCAAAACACTTAGATCCCAAAGAGACAGACTACTTTCCTACTCAAAATACAGAAGAGGCCCAGTAAGAGGTGTAAGTCAGACAATAAAGATGAGTCCTGCTATGAGAGTCTTGAATTTGAATGGTTTTTATTGAAGTGACTGAGTGTTTGTTTTAACGTGTGTGTGTTTGCCCACATGTGTGTATGCACACCATACACAGTCTTGGTGCCCTTGAACGTCAGAAGAGGGTATGGAATTATAAGCTTCTATGTGGATCCTGGGAACTGAACCCCAGTCTTCTGCAAGAGCAGCCAGTGCTCCTAACTGCAAAGCCTCCTCTCCAGCCCCATAGTGACTTTCTACTCACTTATGGCCACATGAAGCTTTTCCATTGACTTCAATCAAGATACAGAAACTAGGGTTTTTTAAAGAGGGGATTGGGCTAGCAAAATGGCTCAGTGGAGAAAGCACATGCTCACCTGGCAACCTGAGTAGGATCTCTAGAATCCTCAGAAAGATAAAAGAATGTTCACTTCATAAGATGGCACTGACTGGTCTTCCAGAGGTCATGAGTTCAATTCCCAGCAACCACATGGTAGCTCACAACCATCTGTAATGGGATCTGATGCCCTCTTCTGGTGGGTCTGAAGACAGCTACAGTGTACTCACATACATAAAACATAACAAAAAGATGGTCCACTAACCACAACAGGCATGGCAACATAAACTAAAAATGGGTGTGGGGATACTACATGATGGCTTCAAAACTAGCCAGGGCTATACACAAGATCCTTCTCAAAAAGAACCGAAAACATGGGGCTGGAGAGATGGCTCAGTGGTTAAGAGCACTGACTGTTCTTCCAGAGGTCCTGAGTTCAATCCCAGCAAACACATGATGGCTCACAACTATCTGTAATGGGATTCAATGCCATCTTCTGGTGTGCCTGAAGACAGCTACAGTGTACTTATATAAATAAATACATCTTTAAAAAAGCTGAAAGCATAGCAGAATTCTTGAAGCCCTGTTAATCACATGTATGAAAATTGTAAAAAGGGAAGAGAGTAGATGCACTTTAAAATGATTTATTATCTGAGCCTCCTTTGGACATTGTCTTTGGACGTCCTTCTGGACATAAATTCAAAATTACAGTATTTGAAAATAGTTATACAAATGCTATGAAAATTCAAATATAATACTAACTTTCCTTTCGTCCGTTTGGATTCCTGATAGAGTGGTAAAACTTGAGAGATTATAGACCAGTGTCATGCAAATGCAGTAACCAGGGAAAGATCTGTGGTAGGAAGAAGGTCTGATAGGGTCCAAGAATTGTCAAAGAATGATATCCCAGATTCAAATTTTATGCAAAAGTAAAGAGTGTTTATTTAACTGAATTTCCTGCATGCAGGGGTCTCCCCATTTGGGAATGGAGATCCCTAATGGACTTGCAGCCCTAGCGTTTATTGTCAGTTAGGGAAATTCTTTTAGAGATTGGTTCTAATGTTTTGATTTAATAGAGAATCTTTGTGTCCAAACCTTCAAGGTCCTTGTCCCCAGTTGCGTTTTGATTGATCAATAAAGATGCCAGCAGCCAATGGCTGGGCAAAGGGAAACGGAGCGGGACCTTTAGATTTGCAAGGGCTAGGAACTGGGAAAGGAAATACGGATCCCCCTGGATCGGTGGGATATGGGCAGAGGTAGGAGCTACAGGAGATAAAGCCAACCAGCCATGTGAGATTTAGGGTGAGTGGTCACCAGCCACTTCCCCGATTGGGCCTAGGGTAATGGGAAGGTTTAGGAGTGTCCAGCCTTTGAGGTAGCCAAGGTATTTTAAAATTAACTGGCGTGTGTGTGTGTGTGTGTGTGTGTGTGTGTGTCTTCCATTTTCGAATCCAGACAGCTCCTGGGTGAGTGCACGTGTGTGACCTGCAGGAGCCAAAGCAGAGTAGCTAAACTCACCTCTCCAGAATTCTAGGGAGGAGAATGTGCCCTTTTACCCTCCTTGATTGGTTAGCTCTATCTCTAGGGGTCTGACTGATTCTACAACTCCTCAAGCTCTGGAGACCTCCCTGGGGGATTGCTTACTCATTCTAGCTACCTACGTTTACTTTAGGCCAGATGACAAGGTGTCCTCAGATTGGCTACCTGCAGCTGTGGTTGGCTGACCACAGGTTCCAGGATCCTGGTTCTCATTTCTGGGAAACAGAATCTTAGGCCTAGTCTCCCAAACTGCCAGTTTGCAGCCTGTCATGGAGTCAGTCTGGCTCTGGCTAACTCAGTCCTCTCAACTCCAACAAACTATGTCTACCCTAGAATAGGCGTCTATGTTAGACTCCATGACGAAGGGGAGTTAAAATTGCAGGTGGGGCTTGAGTTGCCGGTAGTCCATCCTTGGGATGACATTACCTTGGAGTATCCATTTGAGCCCAGGGTCATGGCAAGGGTATTTATTTATTTATTTATTTATTTGCTTTTTGTTTTTTTTCGAGACAGGGTTTCTCTGTGTAGTCCTGGTTGTCCTGGAACTCACTCTGTAGACCAGGCTGGGCTCGAACTCAGAAATCCACCTGCCTCTGCCTCCCAGGTGCTGGGATTAAAGGCATGCGCCACCACTGCCCGGCGGCAAGGGTCTTTATAAGTGGCAGTATGAAACCCAACCCTCTATTGCTGGGGTGTTTGCTATTTGGTTTGGGTTTTGTACAGGTGACCAATGTAGGGCTTTACACATGTCACACAAGCATCCCCTTAGCTCTGTCTCCGCCATTGAAGGAAGGAGATCAAGAGCCAGGGCACATCAAGAAAAAAAGTGAATGTAAGACGCACCCATAAAACTTGAAGTTAGTGAATGTATAGTGTTTTCAGGTTGCTTGATTTGTTAGAGGACCTATAAGAAACTGGTGGGATCACATAGAAATTGAGGCCAAAAAGTCAATTAACTCCAAATTAGTACCACTTGTCAAAAAAAAAAAAAGGCACTTAAAAAACCTTGTTGCTGGGGCTGGAGAGATGGTTAAGAGCAACTGGTTGCTCTTCCAGAGGTCCTGAGTTCAATTCCCAGCAAGTACATGGTGGAGGCTCACAACCATCTGTAATGGGATCTGACGCCCTCTTCTGGTGTGTCTGAGGACAGCGACAATATACACATAAAATAAATAAATAAATTTAAAAAAAAAAGGCCTTGTTGCTGAGCCATGGTGGTGCATGCCTTTATTCCCAGCACTCAGGAACTCAGGAGACAGAGACAAGCAGATTTCTCTGAATTCGAGGCCAGCCTAAATAAGCAAGCTTAGGAGGCTGGAGAGATGGCTCAGTGGTTAAGAGCACTGACTGCACTTCCAGAGGTCCTGAATTCAAATCCCAGCAACCACATGGTGGCTCACAACCATCTGTAATGAGATCTGATGCCCTCTTCTGGTGTGTCTGAAGACAGCTACAGTGTATTCATATATAATAAATAAATAAATCTAAAAAAAAAAATTTTAAAAAGCAAGCTTTAGGATAGCCAAGGCTACAGAGAAACTCTGTTTCAAAAGAAAAAGAAAAAAAAAAATCTCTAAAGAGTCCAGAAAACATTAAGACACCTGCAATGTTGGAAATAGCAAGTTTTGTTTTAAAATAAAGTATATTTTAATACATAAAATCTACTGTGTGCCAGGCTTTCAGTGCACTTACCTTGTATGATGTTGAGTTTATCCATTTTCACTTTAGAGGAAGCCATTCCTGATAACATGAGCTGTAGGATAGAGCCTTTTACCATAAGGAAAGCACTCTGTAAGCCCAGCTCTCAGGACACTGATGACAGGGGCTTGTTGACCTGAAGCCAGTGAAACCCTGCCTCATCTCAGAGGCACGCACATGAACACACACAAACACACACACACACACACACACACAGAGGCTGCCTACATGAGAAAGAGCAAGCAAATCATGCCAGGGTTTACAGCTCTAAATCAAGAGCATCAGCAAGAATAGTTCTGATTCAGCTGGGTGGTGGTGGTACACTCCTTTAATCCCAGCACTTAGGAGGCAGAAGTAGGTGGATCTCTATGAGTTCAAGGCCAGTCTGGTCTACAAATTGGGTTCTAGGACAGCCAAAGAAACCCTTTCTTGGGGGAAAGAAATCATTCTAGATTCCCTAAAGAACTTAGATCAAAGGATTTTTTTTAATTGGATTGTTTTTTTGTTTGTTTGTTTTTTTGTTTTTTTAAGACAAAGAGTCTTACTGTGTAGCTCTAACTCTGGTTGGTCTGAAGCTTCCTGTGTAGACCAGGCTGACTTTGAACTCACAGATCCACTGTCATGATTATGTGCATTTACAGCCCAAAGGTTACTGGGAGACAACAAAAGCTAGAAAACACAAGGCATGGCTCCACTCATACTGTGGTTTCGGATATCTGGTCTCTAGCTAGAATTTAGCATGATGTTGTCTCCAAAAAATAATTAAAAAATAAATAAATAAATTAAGTTAAAGTTAAAAAAAATTCCTTTTCCTCCTCCCCCCAAAAATCTTTTCAATTGTTTCTAGCTTTTTTATATTGTTTATTTTTATTTTATGTACATTGATGTTTTGCTTGCACATATGTCTGTATGTTGGTGAGCATCAGATCCCCTGGAACTAGACTTATTAAACAGTTGGGAGCTGCTCTGTGGATGCTGGAAATTGAACCCAGGTCCTTGCTGCTCTG